TATATATATATAAAAGCGCCTGGCCTAGTCCCCACTCCCCAACCCACATTGCAGTTAATTTATCTGTTGTTAAAAAGCAGCTGCTCTGCCCCCAGCCTCTGCTTCTGCAGTATCCCTAATAAAACGTGGCGGCCTTTCCTCACCGTGACTGTTGTGTGACAGTACCTCCCTTTATGCTAGCTCCTACGGTACACAGGTGGGTAGGTTGAGGCATAGGGCCCCAAGTTCCCTTGTGAGGCTGTGTGCCTCCAGGAGAGCTGCCTGGAGTCCCCTAGGAGGTGATTAATGGAGTCTGAGAAATGGGGCCTGCTTGGACCTGAAGCTGTGTGTTGGGAGAACTCTCTGATCCCTTGGAGAGAAAGGTGGGGAGGGAAGAAGACTGTGGACATACACCAAACCCCTCCATTGCCAGGTGGGGCAGAACACACCAGTTTAGAGCAGTATCACTGGCTTCATGTGATGACATGGGACAGAGATTGCCCAGGCGGAGTGGGGATGGAATCTGATAGTCCTCCCACATCCATGCCAAGCTGTATCTGAACAGACTTAATCCCTAGTTCCCCTGGGGCTTGTAAGTGATTCCTGTATAACTTTTGAACACTGGACCGGAAGTCAAGAATCTTCATCACCTAGGCTCATGTTCCAAAAACCGCATCACTTCAAACCTTGGTTTTCCTCAATTGGGTTGGGCTGGTCCAAGTGGTCCTGTCAGCTACTGCCTCCTTAATGTCCTGCACTCTGTCTCTTGTCCTTCCTAGTCAATGTCGTCATTGAAGAAATGAACAAGACTCAAAGAAAGATCTGGTGATTCTTCCATTTCAGGGTCCTGGCCCACTCTCACGGGTTTTCGTACAATCTGCATGTCTCTGCCTCTTGGCAGTTGGACTGAACTCTGCATCCTAACTTGTTTCTTGATCTTTCAAGCCCTATTCTTTGCTCAAACCTGATGGACTGCATCATTCCCAAATTAGAACTCACTCGGCCTGCAGGAGTTTGGCGTGGTGGGCTTGATTCTCCTCTCTAGCCCTTATAAACTGGCACCACAGGCTCAGTTGCTATTCTCACCAGGGTCTGGTCAGTTTGCTACTGGGCTCTGTTTTTGAGGATTTGAAACTACCAGGTGTCACTTGGTCCCTGGATCTGTGTGAGTTGACCAGAGAAATGTCCCTTGCTGGTTACCAGGGCAAGAGCAGCAGCAACTGCCATAGTGATGCCTGGAGGAGGCCCTGCCCACCCACCATAGTTCTACCTGATGCCCTGAAGGTTGCTGGCTTGCAGTCAGCCACAGCCCACATGAATATGGTGCCTTCTGCATAGACCCAGTGTTCCATCTGAAATGGGATAGCAGGGGAGGGGGCAGGTTAGTTTACTGGCATTCCAGGGAACCCTCCTGTGCTTTCAACAAAGGCTTTAGCTAAAAGACCTGGATGGGGCAAGACTCTTCATTTCTCAGCAATATCTGCTTGGAGAATTAATGTGACCTCACTGTTTTCTCAAGAACAATGGGTGAATGTTTGCCTCACTGTTGTGCAAGACCTTTTCTCCTGGGTTTCCCAACAAAGGAAGTTCAAACTACCAGACACCTGTCCATCTGCCAAGGGCCATTAAGGCATCAGCATGAAAACACAGCCCCACTCGCTGGGCGCTGTTGCCTTTTGCAGGAAGTCCAGGAGTGTTAACAGGTTGTCTGTGGGCTGCCAGCAGCTTCCTTTCCCCTTTCTAGATTTTCTACAAATAGTACGGGTTCTTGTTTTCTTTTTCCTTTACCAAAAAAGTTTTTAAAAAAGAAAGCCATGCTCTGCAGCAAACTAGATATATGCTCCCATTCTGTAATTCTGTGTGAGTTAATCCAAGTATATAAATAATCTCTTAAAGCCACAGTTTATAGTAAGTAGAAGCGAGCACTGCTGTGATTTGGGGATAGGGAAGATCTTTAGACTAGGGAGTTGGCTCAGTGGGTAAAGAGCTCCATCACCCACAAAAGCCAGGCATGATGGTACATGCCTACAACCTCAGTCCTGGGGTAAGTTAGGGGGCTGAAACAGGTAGACCCTGGGGCAGAATAATTAGATAGCTAGCCAAAAGAGTGAGCCATAGGCTCAGTGAGAGACACTTTCACAAAAAATAAGGTAGAGAGCAAGTCAGGAAAGTACCCGAAGTCAGCCTCTGGCCTCCATACACACACAGGCAAACGCATGTGCGCACACACGCACAATGAGAAATTTTGAAAGAATCGGTCTAGAGATGTAGCTCACTTGGTAGAATACTTGCCTGGCAGGCACAGAGCCCTGTGTGTCCATCATGGTGACACACATTTGTAATTTCAGCATTTGGGAAAAGAAGGCAGGAGAATCAAGTTCAAGGCCATTTTCTTTACATAGGGAGTTTGAGGCCATATTAGGGTGTATGAGACCCTGTCTAAAAAAAAAAAAAAAAATTACATGTTCCATGTTTTTTTTGTTTGTTTTTTGTTGTTGTTTTGTTTGGTCTTTTTGAGACAGGGTCTCCCTGTAGCCCCAGCTGGCCTAGAACTCACTATGTAGACCAGGCTGGCCTTGAACTCACAGAGATCCACCTGCCTCTGCCTCCCGAGTGCTGGGATTAAAGGCGTGCGCCACCATGCCCGGCACCTGTTCCATGTTTTAAAAAGTAATTGAAGGCCTGGTGTGGTGGGGCACACCTTTAATCCTAGCACTTGGGAGGCAGAGACAGGCGACTCTCTGAGAGTTTGAGACCAGCCTGGTCTACATAGTGCATTCCCGGCCAGTTGGGGCTGCAAGGAGACCCTGTCTCAAGAACACCCCACTTCTAAGAAAAAAAAAAAAAAAAAAAAAAAAAAAAAAAGAGCTGGGTGGTAGTGACCCACCTGCAGTTCCAGCCTGAAGGAGGTAGAGACAGGGATCCCTGGAGCAAGCTGGCTCTGGGTCCAGCAAGAGACCCTGTCTCATATAAGATGGAGAACAATTCAGGAAGACACCCAATGTCAACCTTGGACCTTCACATGCATACACATGTACCCACACACCACACAAACAAACAAAAAGCATGAGTCATGCATGGTGGTGCCTATCTGTAATCCCAGCATTTGGGAGGTCAAGGCAGGAAGTTCAAGATCATCCTCAGCCATATAGTAAGTTCTAGGCCAGCCTGGGATCCCTGAGGACTTATCTCAAAAGGAAAAGGGTGCTTTCAGGTGGCACGTTTATATTTTTTTATTAAACTGTGTTATTCTGCAGTTACTGATGCTGCTCCCCTCACATTTGACCATGTCTTGGAAACCTTTCCAAAGCCCTTAACTATCCATCACAGAATGTGGTGTCCATGGCTGAATGTGCCATTTAGATTCGTTGTGCCACAACACAACCCTATAGCCAGTGTCACATATGTACCTTTGGGCCTTTGTGTATTTGCATAAAATAATTCCTACAGGTGGAATTGCTGGGGCATAGAGTGTGCTTAATAAATAGAACCTTTTTTTTTTTGTATTTACACATATTATCAAATTTTCTTTTCTTTCTTTTCTTTTCTTTTTTTTCCTGTAATCCCAGCTGGCCTGGAACTACTGTGTAACAGGCTGTCCTGTTCTTACAGAGACCCCGGCCTCTGCCTTCCAAGTGCTGGGATTAAAGGTGTGTGCCACCATGCTCCGCTCATTTACTTTAAATTTTTATTTTATTTTATGTATATGAGTGTTTTGCCTACATGTATGTAAGTGTACCATGTATGTTTAGTGCCTGCAGAGAACAGAGGAGGGCACTGTATCCTCTGGAACTGGAGTTAATAGGTGTTAGCTGCCATTTGGGTACTGGAAACCAAACTGTGTCCTCTGAAGAGCTGCCAGTGCTCTTAAGCACTGAGACATCTCTCTAGCCCCTTAATTACTGACTTTTGACTTTTTGAGATGGTTGCCTTATGGAATCAGGCTGACCTGCAATTCACTACGTAGCCCCAGCTATCCTTGAACTTCTGATCTTCCTGCCTCAGCCTGGGCAGATGGGGATTACAAGTATGTACCACTACACCTGACTAAACTTATTTTTATAGCCAGCCAATTTCACACAAATAAGAGATTGTGTAGGGCCTTATAGCCCAATGTAGGGACTGTGGCTTTTACCCAGAGCAGAATGGGGAACACTGCAGAGTGAAGGGAATAGATTATAGGCTCTTCAGTGACCCCTGCAAGAGATGGGGGTGACCTGGACTTTAGAGGCAGTAAAGACAATAAGACTTGATAGTGTAATTGATGTGAGAAGAAGCAAGAATAACTCCGAGGGTTTTGGATCATTAACTGATCCAGGACAGAATAGCCTTGCAGGAGAGTCAGTCAGGAGTTAAGTGTTGGACACATTGAATTTGAGATGCCTATTGGACAGCATCCAAGGGAAAATGTGGAGTCAGCAGTTGGTTAGAAATGCCCTGAGCTTAGAAAAGAAGCCTGGGTAGTAGATACAAATTAGTAAGTCACCAGCATACAGATGTTATTTAAGGCCAAGAACTGAGATCATTGAGGGAGTGGAGAAAGGAATGATCTGAGCCCTGAACGCTCTATTCTTCTGGAGCTCACAGGAAATGGCAGAGGAGGCTGAGAAGGCAGCAGCAGGAGGAATCGGGGTTCTAGTCAGAAGTGAAGGAAGTGTTTCAAGGAAGAACAAATAACGTGCTGTCCTACTCTGCTTTTGGATTGCCTTTTGGAAGCCAAATGTGGTGGCACATACCTGTGATTCCAAGACTTGGGAGGCAGAGGCAGGAGGATTCAAGGCTAACCTCAGATACATAATGAGTTTGAGGCCACACTGTCTCAAAAAAATTCTTTTGGATTTAGAATGGAGGTCATTGGTGATTTTTACAAGG